ATTAACCTCACTCTTTGTAAACAGTTCACGGTGACGCATGGGCATAGTTAAGTTTTAAAAAGTTTGCTCCGCCCTAATCAAAAGGCGCTCCCATTCTCTTGAAGCGACTGACCGCGCGGAAATGTTCTGTGGCGTCATTTCTCAGGACATCTGTAGTGATAACGCCACTTGTCAAAACGGCTTGTTACAACGGAACATCAGCAGGCCGAGCCGTTACCACGATTTCCGCGGACACCCTCGCCTTCGGGTATGGTCCGTATGTCCAGCTCGTCAGTCAGGTTTTCACTGAGCCTAGACGCCATTGAGATCCACAGCCAGCCCTTCCAAACATGTCCCCAAGCGCGGCATGTAAGTCTAATGAGCCGGCTTATGGCGGCCGATTTCGACATGTCAGCCTGTGGCTCGACCAAAATTAATCCCCTAATTACGTCCGTCAGCCGGTGGCGTTCGGTAAGACACGCGCGTCTGCCGGGCGGGCCGCGGCGCCGCTGACCTAGTAACCAGGCCAGTGTGACCAGACAGTCGACAGATGAGGCAAGCCAGCTCGCAACCCGACCCCCATAAACTGACCCAGATTGTTTAGAGATATAGACACCAAAGGAGCGTCTCTGGGCGTACGGACAAGACACCGGGCGGGACTGGAATGGCCTCGGGGCGTGGTCACGGACGGACGGTGGAGGTAGGGCAGGAGGTCGGGCGGGGCGGCCAGATCACCACCGACACCAGTGGATCAGCTGAGACGCTGCTAGGTGTTTTGAGTCGGGATGGTCACCAGCCGCAGGGAGCACACAATGCAAAGAGCGAGGTGTAGCATCGAGTGCAATCCAGCACTCCTCCACTCCAATCCAGCGAAATGAACAATCAGAGATTGACTCCACGACACAAGTCGGTCAACCACTCACCTGTGAAAGGTGGACAGGATGGTAACTGTCAGGCAAACCTCCGCTTGATCAGCAGATGACAGTGCACGTGAGCGTGGACCGCACCCGTTTTACACGCATGAACACTGGACCGTTGAGAGTCGCCGAGGTGCCACGCCCACGCCGCTCAGCCGGCGCCCAGACACCACTTCCCTTCTCCGCCACCGGACGCCACCGACCGCCCTCGGCCTCGGCCTAGTCCAGCGCGGCCCCGCCCGGCCGGCTGGAGGACGTGCTCGGCCGGTGGAGCGTGACGCGCAGATTCAGCCGACTCACGCGACGCCGGCGGCGGCGGCGCGGCGGCCCGTCCCGCAGCGGCAGGGGCGCCCGTGCCCCGGCCGGCCCACCGCCGCCCGCACGGACGCCTCGCCGCCCGACATCGCTTTGGAACCGACCAAGAGCCGCGAACCGACGCAGATAGGTGCGATGCGGCGCCTGAGCCGCTCCGGGTTGCCGGCGACACCAGTGACCCAGTTTCCGACCAACACTCAGTTCGGAGTCGGACGTCCAGCCGGAAAGCCCGAGCAAGCTTAGAATGGCTCAGCGACACGTCACGCGAGATTGGCGCACTAGCATAGCCTGGAAGTCGCTGGATCCTGCAACTATCCCGGAGCTCCGGCCCGTGCGAGGGAACGTTCAAGCACCGCGCGCCGCGCGTGCCGGGGCTCCCAGTTACGCCTTCAGCGCTGCATTCCGGCACGACGCGTGCGACGTGACCAGAAGGCCCCCATCGGCCGCACGTGGACGCGGCCGGTGTCCGAACCCTGGCCGGGATCAAACGCAGTGGGGTGCCTGTCAGCTCGTGTCACACCGCGAACCGAGGGACACATTGGCGAGCCCCGGGCCGTGCGGACTGATCTGGAAGCCACATTTCCTGCTCAGCGCACTCCTGCCGGGGCGCGAGTGTGACATTCCCGGCCCCACGTGGCCCCGCGGTCCGGCAGCGGGGCCGTTTTTGTGGCGTGCCAGCGCCGATGACGGGCGGCGCCGGCGGGCTGGGACTGGAGCAGGTACCCGGCTCGCCTCGCGACGGCGAGGTCGGCGACAGGGTCGCCTCACCTACCTGACGGGCTGGGGCCAGCTGTCGCCGTCGCGCCGGTCCGGGGCTGGAGGACGCGCACGCCCCGGCCGCCGCCGCTTGGCAACTGACGCCGGCCGGCCGGCTAACTGTGCGGCACCGCCCCGCATCCGCCGCCGCCGCCGGCTAGGGCACTGAGGAGGAGCACTGAACCGAGCGCGGACGCGTCCCGCTGACCCCGCGCCAGCGAACACGTGCTGTCGGCAGCCGTGCGGCAGCGAACCCGCAGATGCAAGGACACGTGCCACCGACGCCGTCGTCGGTCACTGCCTCGCCCCGTGCGCCGTCCGCGTCCTGCGGCTCTTCCGCGCGTCAACCTCCGCCGCGTGCTTCCCGCTGCAGCTCCCGCCGGCGCCGCCCAGGCTCTGAGACAGGTCACCAGGACAGGCGCGCTGTAGCCGAGACGGCGACACACTGGCGCGGCCCGAGCAGCCGACCGCGAGGCGCCGGCTCTCGACGCCAGCTGCCGGGTCAACCGCCGGCCGTGAGCTATTTCGCCGTTTCATGGTGAGCCCGGCGTGCATGCAAAGCGTACGACGCCGCGCGGCACTCGCGCATCAGACGCCACGCGGCGCGGGTTGTAACAGGTCGGCGTGTCACAACCGACCTGTTTTTGACGCGCGGGGAAGCGGGGCGACGTTCCGCTCGAATGGTGACGTCATATGAAGGCGTGTGACGTCACGGGATGGCTGGACCGCGCTGCGTGCGTGTGGGAATCGAGTGGAGGTGCTCTCACGGCCTGCGTCCGGATCCTTAGACTGATCCTAACCGTGCCGACCGCTCTAAAACGACCGAGTGGGGCACGTGACTCGGCACTATGAGGTTGAGGACTGCAGTGAATGCAGCTGATGGCTGTTCAAACAGCTGCCAACCTACTCAGACGCTATTGCAAGGCATAGTTAACTCTACGCATTCCTCACGAATGAACGGAGCGAGCATTTTGAAAGCATCTGCAACGGGTTCTGGCAACGTCATGAACCAAGCGTCATGCAGTGTGGATGTGGGAACATAAACCTCCTATCACCGGCCTCAGGACGGTCGTTTTGGTCGGCTTCAAGGCCAGCGCAGAAGAGCGAATGGTTTCTGTTGTAGGCGGGCCCAGCCGTCGGACGTCCACCGGGCATGAGCTGAGACTGCATCATCGCATCGCCCGGGAGACCTGGTTTGATCATAGCAGCCTAACATGAATGGTCAACCTCCAAACGTGCTTTGACGCTTCACTTCGGGCGCCGGCATGGCATGGGGGAGGGGTTATAGTTATCCCCCTGAAGTATTGCTTTACTCCTTCTTGTTCTAGCAGCCATTTTATGATGCAATCTTTAGTCTGCCAACTGGACGGTCCTGTCCCTGTGCACAGTTGTTTCCATGTCTGTGAACTGCATATTTGCTGGCCTGCCAAGCGGCAAAGCCTGGCAACGCCCGTGCCCTTCACCAAGAGAGGAAAACCTATCCAGACAACGTGTTGCACCTAGCATAATGTTTCGGGTGTTCTTGATCATGCCTTATCAGCTACCGCAAGCCACGGAGAGTGCACAGCTCGCCGCTTGAACCGTTAATTGAATCAGTCATTCACGAGAGACCCATCACTGATGATGCCGCCGCTCATAATTTCAGCCGACCGAACAACAGTTAGTGGCCGGCCGAGTACTGCAGAGCAGGCCCACTGCAGCGGGTGTGCGGCGCTGCGCCGGCACGTGCCGACACGGTCGGCGCCCGCCGCCGCCGGCCGACGGCGGGCCATCCATCGACGGGGCATTGCGGTCACCAGCTCACTCTAGAGACTATGGCGCCGATCAGAGCCGGCTGCAGCCGGTTGGCGCACTATGACCAGACCAGTCTCAGGTGGCCAGACTGCGGGCCTGGACTGCAGGCCAGGCCGTTCCAGACGTCCAGTATTGTCGACACATGGAGCAACTGCTTGGCCTTAACATTGGCCTACGCATAGCAAAGGGCGGTCCGAGTGGTGAGCCTGTTTGGGGCTGGGTTGTGAAGCATTGCGGGCATAGACTTTGTCGGAGCATGATTGGGAGAATGGTTGGCAGGATACCGTACTGTCAGAATGGAACACACAGATTCCATCATATGCAATACTTGCACGTGGAAACACTACCGGTCGGTATGGCTGAAACCGGCCACTGTTCGATCGGTATCGATTACCAGCTGGGCGGCGATTCAGTGACGACACTCCATTTGCAGCCATGACGTGTGTGTCAAAGAATAGAGGGGAGAGTGGGGGGGGGGGGGGGGGGGGGGCGGCACCTCCACGCAAGGGCTCGCACGCATTGGTAAAATACCATAAAACGAGTCTCGCGTACGCAGCTTCAGTACCAAATATACTGTTTTTGTGCCACACGCTTTACATCAATCGACCATGGCATTGGTCTGCTCTTGTAATACTTAGTTATAAGGTCACCCTGCTGATCTGCATTGATACGTTTATCTCGTGCCGACATGCCTGGTCTCTACAGGTCCCGCGTATTTTGCTCCGGTGCCTAACACACTTAGCTCTATAAGCTCATTTGCCAGCAAGCAGAATGATTCAAGCGTTCCACACAGGCCTCTATTTGCATAGAGAATTTGATGCTCGGTCGAACTCTGCATAGAATGTTTGCCCATGAAACAAGTTATGAACTCATTTGCTGCATTTTTTGCATAGTTGATTTGACTGACTGTGTGTTGTGCTAAGCCTCTTCAAGCTCACCGCTGTGCATTCAAAAGGTAACTTTTGTGACATAATGACACGAAACAGGCGTGATTGTCAATTGTGAGCGGTCGATAACCGGCTACACCTCTGTTTTCCCCAGACAGCGTTGTGTTGGTCTCCTTGCTAGGAAGATCATATTATTTTTATCGATTTTGTTTCAGGATCGGGGTTAAGAACAAACCTGAGTTTAACAAAGATTGGGCTGGATGTCTGACTAATGTGCAGAGAAAATAAGAGGCGACATACCGAATGGTCAAGTGATTTATATCGCACATATGTTAACCAAGTCATGGCGAAGAGATCAGCGAGCTGCTCTTTATTGCAATGCGCCGTAAGCATCATCGAAAAAGTCTCCATGTCTCCTCAAAGTTATCACAATACGTCATGGTCTTTCAAGACGATTGAATACGCGATATAAGAGCTCATCAGATGCATGTACGTCGAAGTACTACACCAGGTGAAGCGTCGCCTTTCTCCATGACGATCAGCGTGGTGGGGCCTGACACTGACTTGGCTCCGAGATATCGGAAAGGTCGTCAAATGAGCGATCAATACGCTAAGGTTCTGGAGTGCGTTCGCCCTGTTCCGGCGACCCATTGCGATCAAAAACAGCGACTGTCTATCTCATATCGGTGTTTTGGTAGAAACATAGATATGTGACCGCCAAATAGGTAAATTTATGACCGACAAATAAATAGATATATGACCGCTAAATATATATATATATATATATATATATATATATATATATATATATATATATATGATCACCAGCATATTCAGCACTGATGTAAGCTTGTGACGAGAGTATCAGAAGTGTCAGCAACAGGCCGTTCGTAACTGCTTACCTGGGGCCGGCCTAAAAGCGCGCGTCAGGGCGGCGGCACTGACCTGTGGCTGGTGCGGGGGTGGCGCTGGCTCCGAGCGACACGGCACCTGGCTGGGACTCGCGACTGTCGACCAGTGCGCACTGCCGCCCAGTCCGCACTGGACACCGACGCCGGCCGCCGACCCACCACAAATGACGCCGCTCCTGCCGCCCCGGTGACCTGTATCCACCCCTGTAGCCGGGCGGCCCGCCCAGGCCCCGCCCCTCCGCGGCCGGCGCGGTCGCCGCGGCCGGTCGTGCGCCCCGCCGTGGCTGGACGGCGGCGGTGGGGAGGCGGGCCCGAGGATGTCCGTGGTTCTGGAGTGTGAGCGACGTGTATCCAGGATGCCTGGCTGCCTCAAGTGACAGAAACACGACGCAACCGGAATTGTTCAGATGGCGGTTCTGATTGTGGATGAGCGCCTGGTTCGCAAGCTGCTCCTTGGCTGAAAAAGGCGGCTTTCCAACGACTTTGGAGAAAGCCCGGACCGGCGACCGCGGCTGAATTTGCGGTCAGCTGACGTAAATTTAACCCGAGTATTTTACCGGCAGAACTGAGCGTGAACATATTTCAAAAAACTAGGAGCCTTAGCGTAACGCTAGATCTTAAACAAACCTTCTCCTCAGATGTTTCTGGCATAGTCAGTAGAGGTAATCGAGCATGTGGTCGTTTATTCTGTCCTTCAACTCAGTACCAGCAGGACAAAATTCAATTAAAGCGCAGTGATGGCTGCGTATTTTACAAACTTGCGATCGGTTTTGGAATATTGTAGCGTGGTCTGGACTGAGACGGCCAATCCCCACACTGAGCAGGTCGATCGAGCGCAGCGCAAGTTTCTTATCTGGCTCTTTACAAATTCCCCGGCTTCTCTTTTTAATGAAAGCCTCCTGCTTCATTTCAAAATCCCATTCCTAGCAGCACAAAGAGTGCAGTACGGTTTGTTTCTTCTGGGGAACATCTTCCAATATTAACTGGAGGCTCAAAACTTTCTGATTTGTTTCCCTTGCTTGTGCCGCATGGATCGATCCGAGCCCAAACCCTGCTTGTTTGTAACTAACACTCGTGTATAGACAGTACAGAGCGGTTTGTTGTGCAGACTGCCAAGCGTTGAAAACACTTCAGCAAGCAGCACCAGCGCCAACATCTTTCATGACAGTTTTGACATTTTTAGAGTTTAAGTGATCAAGTACATTTTGACTCTGTAACATGTTCAGTTAGCTCAGGGATATGTTATCCTTTTTCATGTTCATACCACTATGTGCTGCGTATTTATTGTATTTTGCTTTAACGAATCCGCACATATGGGGAAACAGTGCTCTGCTGGACATAAAAGAAAATCAACAAATAGACAAACACCCTCGAATGGCCAACATCAAGTGCTTCAAACGTGACGTTGGTCTGCTCATGGGGCTGGACCTCACGGGATGCTTTTGTGTTGCCATTCC